TCAACTAATATTTCTGGTCCTTCCTAAACGAAGATTAACCTCATATCATTATAAAAAAAATTATCTCTCTTTTGTTTGTATAAAACGCAGCATTTTTAAGTACTGTTTTTAATGTGATTTCCATACGAATATAATTTATCACAAAGAGCAATAAATCGCCCACAGAAAACGCTCGAATTGCACAAGTTAATATCGCATGTACCCCAACATTTGCACTTATAATTATCGAGAATTGGACACAAACATCCAACGCACTTTTCTGTCAAAAAATAAACCGGAATTAATAACTTTCCACACCAAATCTGTGTGCTTTTGATACTTGAATTGAAGAAAAAAAGAAACAAAAAAAAAAAAAAAATTTTCCCGCTAGCCGTCACATGCGCACCTTCTCGAGTTACCCCTAAAAAATTCATAATTCCATGACTGCGTAAGTTCCGGCATCGACTTGACACTCTTTTTTTTCGTCGTGGCTGCCCCTTCAATATTCAAGCAAGAACTCGCATCGGTTACCATTATTATTATTATCCCTGTTGTTACTCTTTTCGACGGACACGCAAGCACGTTAACGTCGATGTCGCGTTGAATTAATTTTCCATGCACTTCGAATTACACGATCCCACGCATGTAGTGTCCATTTTTTCCTCGTAAAATGAAGGTCGAGGGAAAAACGAGTGATAAGTACACATGTGCATTACTCCAATCTCACGTGAGAGCCTCGTGGCGGTGGTACATTTCAATTGTTGATCGCGGAGAAATTGTGTGCGCTGGAGGGTGTTTTTTTGCATGTCCTAACGGTGCTCGGGCGAGTGTCTGGATGCAATTAAAAGTTCGTTAGGTTTATTGGGCTACTTGTTTTTTCTCCCTCACTAACGCTCGGAGAATCTTAATTTGAAAACTTTTCCCTGGGAGTCCGTCATTTTTAGGGCGAGCGAGCTTAGAGTGTCGGTGCGTTGCGAGAAACAACTCTCGGTGCGACTTGTAATATTATTTGCAGATTGGTGTTTTTACATGATGATTTCTGGAAGCGAAAAGGGTACGTTACTGGAAATTACTGTATAAGAATTGATGGGAATTAATAAGGGTCGTTAAAATCTGTAGTTTTAGAAACTTTTAGATTAGAAAATACTCGCTCCTTTCCTAAAGATGAAGATATGTAGATGTGGCTCAGAAAGTGCTAATAAACAGTCAAATTTGGTCAAAGATTAAAAACTTATGAATCACATAAAAATTTTCGGGTGATTTCTTAAAAAGTAATGCTTACCACTTTATAAAACAGTGAATAAAAGTAAAATTTGAAATAACAAAAAAATTACCATATCCCTTCATGAAGAGAAAAAAATTTTAGATGGTTTTTTCTAAAGTAATGGTACCAATACGTTCACAACAAACACCAAAAATAAATGTGAAAAAGTGTATGACACCCCTAAAAAATGGTTTTTTCCAAACTTTAAATGTTAGGTAAGTTTGATGTATTGAGTTCATATTTCGTAAGGAATTTCTGAACCTTTATACCCACTGGCAATGATAAGTATTCTTCCTAATGAATCTGTAGCCTTAACAAGTTCTGAAATCAAGATATAAAAACGGTCAAGTTTTTTTTTGCGCAGTATACATTTTGTATGACATTCGTAGTATGATACTGTTTAGTAATATTGAACTAAGTAATATTGACTTTTGACTGGTATTTCATGCAAACCTCACATCAAATACATTCATGCCTTGCTATGTAGAAAGTATATAAAAATGTTAGGGCAAAAGTCAATATTACTTAGTTTGATTTTGTTAAATTACGAGTACTAAACAGTATTATGCTACGAATGTCATACAAAATGTATGCTGCGCAAAAAAAAACTTGACCATTTTTATATCTTGATTTCAGAACTTGTTAAGGCTACAGATTCATTAGGAAGAATACTATTTATTGCCAATGCGTATAAAGGTTCAGAAATTCCTTACGAAATATGAACTCAAAACATCAAACTTACCTAACATTTAAGGTTTGAAAAAAAATATTTTTAAGGGGATATCATAACTTTTCAGGAAAATACCATTTTCAAATATTTAGTTTAGAAAACTAAATAATATTAAATGTTGCTTATATTAGAAAGTACTGGATAGAAACGAAGTCTGTAAAACATAGCTACGGTGATCTACAACAGTCCCACTAAATTTCTACTAAAATTTGCTCATTTAAAGATGTTTCAAGTATATTTGAATGCAGTTAATTTTTAGAAACAGTTTCTTNTAAACTCTTGTGTAAAAAAAGTTATTAAAAAGCTATGAAAAAATCACTCAAGTCAATGAGCTTAAACCAAGATCTAAAAGCTTTCGTAATCACCACGTTTTTATCATAGGAATTTTTATCTCATTGTCATGTCAACATTTGTATAAATGAAGAATTTCAACAATACTATGTATATCTAATCTATTGCACTTTGAAGACATAAAGTCTGCTCAATCTAACAGTGATAATTATTTAGTATTTTCTATTGATTTTTTTTCTCACTCTATATAATAAATACTTCATCCTATTTATGTGTCAATTATTTATCACGAAAATACGTACGAAAATCGTAAAAGTGGTATCTAAGTTACTAAAAGAATTGTTTTTATTGAATCATTTCCTATTTTACTAGTACTTAAAAAATTGATTATTAATGTATGATTATTAACGATTTAAATCGCTAAATCAAATAAGGCTTAGGTTTACAGCTTGGTATTTAGGGCACTCTGGGAAATTATTACAGTTTTCAATCTAATCGATCATATTATGTTGATACTGTTACAGCTTTGTTACACAATTCATTTTAAATTGCCAAAAAAAGTATACTAAAAAAATAATAAAATTTATTATTAGTAATTTATTTATTTCAAATTTTAATTAAGATACTAAAATTAATGTGTTCGCATTTAAGGCATACCAAATTCAGTGTTAGGATAAATAGGATATTGAAGTATTCTTGATATTTACATTTTTATACGTTTTCGAAATTTTCCCACGATAGGTTTCCTACCTTAACAACACCTCATCTTGTCAGTCGTTGCTTGAATGGCTGGGTACATTTTACATGCTTATAAGTGCACTCATATGCATTTGACCTTGATTTTACTATGAGAGAGTTATATCCACCACCTCCCTCTTCCGATGCATCGTGGCGTCTTCCTATAAACTGCATATCTGCATGCCACGGTGAAATGCTATATACCAGTAGCCTATTGATATGATATCCTAGTGATTAGTTCATATTAAAAATACCCCTTAGTTACCAAGGAGGAAGTGATGCAACGGAGTCCCGAACCCGAGCCCTCCAGGTGGGGAGCAAGTGCTCTACCATCTCAACCACTAAAAACTCCCAACACTGCATGCAATCATCTACTGTGAATTTGTGAAATTAGAAAGTACCTGTAGCTAATATCACACTATTGGCAGCTCTGCTTAATTTTAAAAACACGCTTATTCCAACTATACACAGGAAAAATTTGGGTTGCAGTTAACTTAACGATAAGACCATTTCTCGGACACTGAGCCTGAAAAAATCTTGTTTTGACCATTTCGAGATACACATGTCTCGTTTTCGTTGTTCTAACGACTTTTTGACCTATATTTTTTGGTAAAGTTGTGGACTAGGATTAAAGAGACTTAATTAAACCAAAATACATCAGGCATACCGGCAAAAATACTTATTTTTCAGTATTTGAAAATTCGAGTATGCAAATCTGAAGTAAATAGTAGCGTGGTCGCCGAGGCTTCGTCTGCTTTCTCAAACTTACCTCGTCGCGCTCCCGCGCGACTTGATTCTCAAAAAATATGAGTCTCTGTACTCAGCCCAAGATGTAGAGGTAACCATGTATAGCCAGCCACTTTTCCCATGTTAATTAGTGTTCTTCCAGAGCTGTTTGCTGCCAAGTTCTTTTTTTTTCACGAAATTCAAGGGTGAATTGTTTCATGGAATTGCTAAATTAGAAAAGTTCTCAAGATATTCAAGAACTACTTTGACCATAAAAAAACATGCTTGATTTTGTAAAAAAATTTCTGTGAATTTTCTTACTTGAAATTACTGAAATGGTGGCTGGTAGAAAGCTTAAAAATCCAAGAAATTTTTTCAATATATTTTGACATAATTTATTCTCAGTGAAAACGATGCTTTTTATCCGTTTTTAAGGGTGAAAGTAAACTATATCTTCTTCTAGGTTAAAAATATAGAACATTAATCAAGGAAAAGTATAGTCTTTATCGTGTACATGCTTTTTTAACCAGTTACATTATACTTTCAAACAATAAGAGAAAAAAATTTTTTCTCTGCTGAAAATTCAATAAAGTAAAAAAATTGCTCTTTTTAATATTCCCAATGATTCAAGATACTTTTAAGATTGCGTTTTTTGAACAAAATTTTTTAAAAAACATTAAAAATTTTTTTGTTGTGTACGATAAAGTTCAAAAAATTAGATTTGAACTAAGATTTTTTTTGAATACATTAAACAAATTCTCAAATGCGTCTGAAAATGTGTTAAGAGAAGAGCTTTGAAAGTAGAAAGTATAAAATAACCGCTTTTATAAAAAAAATAATTTTGGAGGTATCCAAAATAGGCACAGGAGAAGTCATTCATTAATAAAATACAAGATAACTAAAGTGGCTTAAACTTAGGACCTATTATTTTCATATCTTGTTGCATGCAATTAAATTTTGATTCCACGTTGGAGCGATGAATTAAAATTTTGAGACTTTCAAAGGTCTTTGTTAAAACTTGCATTTTTATAAGAAAAATCTTAGAAAATCAAAAAGTTGTCCATATCAACCAATAATCAGTTACAAACATAACCCTGACCAACAAATCACAAAACTGACGCAAAAAATCCAGAAACGCAATACGCGATACCATAAGCCATTCATCTACGTACCTCAAAAAAGCAAATTTATATAATATACCAGTTTAACCCATGAAAAATCAACTCTGCTCCACAGCTAAGCACGGAGGCGTCACCGAGTCTCGGGATGAGCATGCCCCGCGCCCGAACGGCTCTGCTAGCGACGACAACGTCGTCGGGTGGCTCCAGCACCGGAGGATCCGACCGGCGCGTAGTCTTCCTGGCCAGCCAGCCCTGCGCCCCTCAGGGCTCGAGCCACGACACCCGCACCTGGCCTCACCACTGGTCGCCTACGGTATGACTCCCATATTTTTTTCTTTACTTTTCCACAAACCTCCATCTCTACCTGATCGTTTGGACCCACAGATCTCGACCCATTTAGAAGAATACAGAAATAATCACTCGCAAGTAGTCGATATCAGCGTTCGATCAGACGCACGGATACATACGACGAATGATGCGTCTTTCCCCGTATCATATATTTACTTTTGTTTTCCATCAAGGTGCGCACTTCGCTCTCGGAAAACTAGAGCGTGAGTCTCAAATTTCCATCTGACGGTTAAAACCCACACTCAACCCGGATACGTACATCCGACTGGAGGATAAAACACCCGTCCCCTTTAAGTCATTACACTCTCCCACTCTAGGATATCGAAAGTGTACACGATGTAGGTCAGGATTTCGTCCCCCATACCACGTATACATGAGCTTGAAAGCCCACTATTGTTCAACGCGTGGACGCATTTTCGAAGCGACGTGACTGGTGTTTTGCCACTACACGGAAGATTGTTGTTACCAGAATAAGCTATACCAAAAGTGATGAGCATAGAAAAATAACGTACAGGTCTTGAGATTTTTACAACCAGTCTCACATTTTGACATACTTATCTGGATCACCGAAAAACCTGTGACTAGTCGGTTTTATAACTATACTAGTACAAGTTTTTCAATAGCTTTGGTACAGTATTTTTCTGTACCATGGATAGTCTATTAAATTTGTATACTGCGCATGGCTTTCTACTGTACCGTCTACCGCGCATAGTACGTGAGCTTATAATATACAGTGGAGATATGTATGTATATATATATATGTGCATACTTGCATTCATGTATGGGATTGTCATTGTTATTTTGGCTCAATATGTAAATTGTTCTTTGCGAGTGAAAACCAATTATTATACGCAACAGGAAAGTAACTACAAGTGCCTACTGCACTTATCGTTACATCTTGTTAGATTCGTATCAATGTATTGAACTTTATATTGTGTTGTAGTGGACATACTGAAATCCTAACCTCTTAAACTTTTACAGCTACGTGTATATATATATATGTATATATATATACACTGACATTCTGAATGCTCCCACTGGCCGACTAACTTTCTGTACTGGTACAGGAAAAACCCGTACCACGTATCGGATTTTGACGTACTAAGTATAAGGTTTATCTATACTCACTAAGTTACTTTAAAGTATACTACCGTACTAAATATACCTGTACCAGTACACATTTTTCTTGTACAGAGTATCGAAAATACTCGTACTAACATATAGTACCTGTTTTTCTGGTAACAACAATCTTCCGTGTAATGAAGATGGCAGGGCCGAGGGAGAGACGTTACACTGCATTTAAGTTAAATAGTGATACCTATGCACATCCTATGTTCTCGTGAAACGTGACATTGACCTTCTGCACACGGTGATAATCAATCCTTGGTGGTCCATTTTTTTTCTACTGAGATTGACCCACTTAACTATGAGTGGGATTCCACAGCCAATGGTCCTTCAATTACTCTCTCGACGAGTGCTCTTCGTATTTACCGTATACGTTGAAAGTACGCTTGATACGCGGGACGTACACAAGGGGGGATCAACTATTGATCATCTGATACGTATGTGTACACGGTAAATCTATATTTCCGACAAACGACTGGTGGGGAAATCATTTACTGGATTGTGGGGATGGATTATCGCCGGAGGGGTGTGCGTATACGTCGGAGGGGGAGGGGGATTCCTTAATCGAAGGGTGCAATGTATTTCAGGTAAAATCGCTTAGAATTGAGAAAGAATGTTTAAACGCTATGTATACGATGGCTTCCACATAGTGATTGAACTGAAATTCATCGATTTGGAGCTGACAGTGCGCGTGTGGGATCGTGGAGTTGTGGTTAAAAGATTTGTCTTTTTTTTATGGCCCACGCAGGTCGATATATATATATTTTTTTTGAGCTAAGAAAAAGCTTTTACCTCAATGTTTTTGCATCACCTTATCGATTTTTAAATAATCCATCTTAAGAGGATAGCAAAAAATTCCTCGAGTTTGAAATTCCGTTTTTGATCGATCTAGAATTCGAGCTCACACTTCAGGATTACAGTTGATTTCAAGAAAATAGTGAAAAGAGTAGCTTTTCAAAATACGTTGGAGGGAGAAAAACATAAAACATTTCTCGAGGTGAACTGTATCATCTATTTTCAAAGTTGATTTCAGCTGACTAGCCTTTAAAAATATGTATTTATAAATACGTATTTTTTTACTAACTTATTCGGTCATAGGATACATTATTTGATCCAAGACTACCTTTATTTTTCTATGCATCTAATTAAGATATGAGAAATTAATAAAGCGTTTAAAATCAGTCCTTAGCTTTTGAGCTATTTAGTATACTGGCCTCGAAGGGCGTGCGATACGCCCCAAAGGTTAGTTTGACATCTAATCTTACAACTAACTTCAGCACATTTAATAAAATCTCAGATTCAATTCGATGTAATCGAACCTTCAATTCTAGACTAATCGCTATCTCCCTTTTATAATAAGATATTTTATGCCCAAAAATGAAATCATGAGATTCATACAGTAAAAACAAGCAGATTTGCATCCAAAACACAACCAATCTACAGTTTTTTTCAGCAAAGTATAATTTGAACTATAGGATCTTATTTGAAAATCATTTTTTACACTTCATTATGATATCCAAACATGTGTTATATTAAAATTTTGTTAATAAATGTAAAAAAAAAGTTACTTACTGCATAAGGATTGTTTGGACTTTACAAAATGATTTTTGTTCATTACTCTATCAGAACATTAAAATAGACTGAAATGACAAACACAAATGAGTGTAATTTACTAATATCTATAAGTTTTGTATTCAGCATTTTGATCGTGAGTGATAAGTAAAAAGATAATATGGTATAAAGCAATATTTCAGCTATTCAAAAATAGTTTGTTTTCACGAGATTTATAATTTTTGTGCATAAAATTTTGTCCAAAACTGTAATGTAGAAAAGTTAGATGTTATTAAACGTATTATTATTGACATTCTTCAAACGATTCTTACCGTTTAGTATGTAAAGACGGGGAAAAGTGTTATTTTAATAAGCTCTACAATTTTCGTATCGAACATTTTGTTGTAATATTTCAATGTTTATCTTTGATTTGCAGAAAACGATTCTTTTGCTTTTTCATGCATATTTTGCATTTTAGAGCATTTGTATTACAAACCGCTATAAAATGTATGGTATGAAAAAGTAGTATTTTCTTGCTATCTCTAACTTTGTCGTAGAACGCGAACGTATAAAATGTACGCGAAAGAAGTGATTGCGAAACAGTTTTTTCGTCTTGCAGCACTGCAGCGCCTGGTGAAATTTTTTTTTTCTGATGAAAGTTGTCCGAATATGAATCATCAGCTTTGATGTTAAACTTGAAACTCTCCAAAAAATCTAAGCACATTTGGATAATAATTAGTTAAATTCGTTGAAAACGTATGTACACATATGGGCCATTCTACGAAACCATCATGAGGGCCGGAATAGACAAACGCTTCAAATGGATTAGTAATTATTAAAATATTTCTTTTGTATTTTCCGTGACCATAATAATCTAAGAATTTTTGGGCCCTGCTGGGCATGCACGAGAAAAATTTTCATGACGACTTTCTTATTTTATTTTTAAAAAAGAGGTACGTTATGGGCTTTTAAAAAATTTTACTGTAACTGTAATAAAGGCAATGTCCATGTTAATTTGCCTTTATTACTATAGTCACATTCGTACAAGTCACTTTCCAAGTCAATAATCCAACATACAATAAAGATATAATGCAAAAAATTAAGATCGTAACACACCAAATGCAAATTAAACTTAATATCATATACAAAATAACTATATTTTAACTCGCCATCTTCCGAGTTGATGATCCAACTCTTCGTACAGTTACATGACATTTTTCAGCGTTACGGGCTCTTAGTTTTTTTTTTTTTTTTGGGAAAACAGAAATTACATAATTGAGAGTCTGTAGTAGTGGCTCATTGGGTCGGAAAAATAGAAAAAAATTCCTGTAGTATCATTGACCGCCTTAGAATACAAAACATTCAAACTAGAACACCAACATTCAATTGCGTACATTTATGAAAACTTTTTCTGTTGAAATGTTAAATTTGTTTGATGTTGGTCCCGCAACTTAAATCTCATTCAAGTCTTAAATACAATTTTTTTTTGGCTCCTTAAAATGCGTAAAAGTATTACTTTTGTTGATACTTTAAGACCTCTTACTTCAGAAAAATTAAGAAATTAGTATTTTATTTCTAGGCGTCGTCAAAACTGCAAATTTTTAAATGTGACTCAAGCATATAAGGCTTATTTAGCCCCTTTTTTGCCTCTAAAACTAAAGAAATTTTGTATGAGCTGAAATCTGTTGTGCCCGCAGCAGATAACATTCTTTGAATATTTAAAGAAGTTTCCTGATCTTTATCTTCTGAAACGACATTGTAATCGATTGAGACATGAAATATGCCGCTTTCGGTAGAATGACCTATTTTCATATACACACGTACACTATGTGACCAACTACTTGGTAAAAAAATAGATGGTCAATAACTGGTGACACATTTTTCTCTAACAAAAATACAAGGCATCCTCATACATTGGTGCTTCATTAGGTTCCTATCGAAATAAACGTATGTCTAGCCAACGATTAGAGTTTTGTTTAAGTGAATGTGTGCAATAAATGTATTTTTTTTAATTTATTTTTTTTTTAATGTGAGTAGTTTATAAGCTATGTAGATCTGGTAAGATTTATAATTGAAACTTACAACGAGTTGAAGGATTCCTCACGAGTCTATCAATAAGTACACATACGAGAAGTTTTATGAAATATGAAACGTCTCATACGCAAGTGAGCACAAAAGAAGATTCCATGCACAATCGAAAATATACCTTAGTTCACACAAATTAACGTATTTTACGCCTACCTGATCATTATGTCAACAGCTAAAAATCAGTCCATTAAACGAAATCTC